CTGACCCACTCGGAAAGAGAACTTGTGCTGGTCAGAGCCACAGCCATCCTCAATGCCATCTACGACCCTGTGAACCCAACAAATAAATCAGATGAGAGGCAACCACCGTGGCATCTGGATGGGATGTTCCAGTGATCACATGTGTCAGCTGCAGAAGCTCAGGGCTATGTGGGGGACCTGGACATCCTAAGAACTAGCACAGGCCCCTCCTGGGAACTTGCGTTTTAGCTGAAGAGCAAATTGGAGTAACAAAACAGCAAGAGTTCAGGGTCAGCCTCCTGCTAACAGGTGGTGGCACTGCGGGAATCAGGAAAGGCTTCTTGGAGGAGGCAGGTTTGGATAATGAAGGCTGGATAGATGAAGATGGAAGGATGGGGCTGGAGATGCCTCTGAAGTTAAAAGCCTGTTTCATTCTTGCAGAGAAATCCCATAGAACAGCTCACAACCACCTGTAACTGCAGTTCCAGGAGGACCCAATGCCCTCTTGTGGCCTCTGTAGGTACCTGTACTCATGTGCACAGTCCCCTGCCCCCTTCCATTAAAAATGAAGTCTTAAAACCCTGTGGCTTTGGAGCCAATTCTGGAACTAGCTCTTGTAGACCAGGCTGGCCTCGAACTCACAGAGATCCGCCTGCCTCTGCCTCCCAAGTGCTGGGATTAAAGGCGTGCACCACCAACGCCCGGCAAAAATGAAGTCTTTTTTAAAAATGTGAAGCCAGGCATGGTGCACATATATAATGTCAGCACTCAGGAGGCAGAGGCAGGAGGGTCACATGGAGGACAACCTGGGAACATAGTCTCAAAAATAAAAATGGCTAATCCTCAGACGGGTGTGCCTAGCCGTACCTCTGTCCTATCACCGCAGTCCTGCCATGACGTCCAGGGCCTGCTCACCTGGGACTCAGGTCTGGGGGTACATTCCATGGCATTGGGGGCAACCGCAGCCCATCTAGGGTCCTTGGATGAGCAGAGGGGCCAGCCTCAGGCTTCAAAACCCCTGCCCTACTTGGCCGCCCTCTGGCACCTAGACGTGGCCGGGGTGCAGTTCGACGTGGGGACAGTAGTTTGGCGGCTGAGGAGGAGGAGGTGCAACCAGGTGACAGCAGGGGACTGGCGGGCTCATCTGCTGGGGCTGGTGAGACTGTGTGTCCCTGCTCCCCATCTGTCTCCTTCTCCTCCAGTGTGGACATGAGGGTGTTGTCACCACTCAGGGAGCTGGTATCCACCTGGGGACAGAGGGGAACAGGGATTCAGGATGGATGGCCACTGCTGTGTGTCACTCACCTCCTCTACCAAGGCACAGGAAAGACAACCCAGGAAGAGGAAAATGCCCTGGTGGAAGTCACCTGCTGCACGGCTGCCACAATGAGGTCACCCCCAAATCCCACTCAATTGTGGATGTAACACCCCTCTACTTGGTCCTCCAGACTAACAGGACTATACAGCGTGGGCTAGTAACAATCCAGAGAGACCCCAAGACCTCTGTGATGGTTCGAACAAGAGATGCGACACCCCTCTACCCCCCAGCCACCCCTGCACCACAGTCTCAGGCATTTGAACAGTTGGTCTCCTGTCGATGGCCTTTTGGTGAGGGTTAGGAGGTGTGGCTTTGCTGAATGAAGGTTGGTAAACTCTGAGAGAACAAAGTCTCTAACCCTTCCACTTCACTCCACTTCCTGCCTGTGGTAAGGATGTGAGCTTCCGGCTCCTACCATCATGCCTGCTGCTGAGTCATCCCTCAGGAACCGTGAACCTTCCTTCTGGGAGTTGCCCTGGTTATGTTATACACCGTCAGGACAGTAACTAATATACCGTCAGGACATGCTATTGAACAATGCAGAGGCAAGGGCCTCCAGGGCTGATGCCGTCTCTGACCACCCTCCACCTGCAGCTCACAGGGTTTTGCAGCTTAGCAACTGCATGTGGCTCCCTTCACAGTAGATTTGTTTTGGTCAGAGCCCAGGATGTCAGGGAGGACTAAGCTGCACGGGCTTGTGTTTTTGTTTTTTAAGACAGAGTCTCTTTATTGTGTAGCCCTGGCTGTCCTAGAACTCACTACATAGAACTGGTTGGCCTTGATCTCACAGAGATTCACCTGTCTCTGACTTCTGAGTACTGTAATTAAAAAAGTGTGCCACTATGCCCTGGCTTGGACTGACTTCTATCCCTTCCCCTGAGGCAGGTGTGTGTGTGTGTGTGAGTGTGTGTGTGTATGTGTGTTCTGGTGCGTGTGCAGCTTTCACACAAACCCACACTTGCCCTCTTTACTCCCTCAACTTTGTTCACTTCATTTGCTCCCTGGCACCCCATCCCCTCCATGCATGTACCCAGCGCCCTCACCTCTGTAGAGACTCCCCCAGCCCCCAAGTTGTAGCTGAGCTCCCCTCGGAGGCCACGGCTAAAGCGTGGGGCAAACTCAGGGTACAGGGCGAGGCTCTCATGCAACCCAGCCAGCTGCAGACACTGTAGGACGCAGTATGTCAGCCCCTTCACGTCTGCATTGGCCTTCACTACTTGCTCACGCTGAGGCAGCTCACAGCCGATCAGATCACCCTTCCCTGAGGAGAGGAGGCCAAAGTTAGCAAGCCACTAGGGGAGGGGAGATGGGCTGTAGACAGCAGACAGAGGGAAGGACAAGGGGCTGGCTGTGGCATGATCCCCAAGTCTCACTCGCACTCGCACTCGCACACTCACACGCACACGCACACGCACACGCGTGCGCGCACAATGAAGAACAGTGGGACCCAGGCTCTCAAGATTCAGAGGGCTGAAACCTCTGCATCTAAGTGGGATGTCATCAATTCCTGTGGTTCGAAGACAGGCTGTTAATTAGACTACTCCTCTGGGGAAATTAAACCAATCACACTCCCAGGCTCTGGCCCAACCTTTATTTTCACAATCTGATTTTCTTAAAAGCCCACAGGTGATTTGGATGCGGCTTGTCCATGAACCAGAATTTGGCAGTATCTGTTTAGTGCCCAAAATATCAAGTGGCTATGCTGTCTCTATCACTGATCTGAGCTGCCTCCTTCACACAGAGGGGTGAGGAGGACAGCACCTTGATCTCACCACAGGGGTCTATGAAGGGTTTTTCAGTGCTAGGCTGAGACTACCACCTGGCTAACAGTGAGTATAAAATAATGTCATGTCCTGCAACCTCGGGGATGTTGGATGAGGGTGGGTCTGTGGCCCTGATGGAAAGGGTGAGTCAATCTTGATGAGGCAGGCACCTGATAGAGCCAACCAGTGAACTAACTTCATTGCTTTCCTCTCCCTTGTTCCCTTTTGCTCATCCCCAACCTGGGCATGGGCCACGGCAGCGGCCCCTGTCAGAGCAGCCAGGTGATTAGAAAGATTAGAAAGGGCAGTTGGTCAAGGCCTTAGGGCCAAGACAGGTGGTTGCCAGTCAGCACACATGGAGTCCAGAGGGCTCTAAATGTCCATGGGGTTTTGCTCAAAGCTGAGTGCAGAAGGCTCCTCATGTAAGTTTTCTGTTCTTGGTTTGAAGGTCCCTGGGTCCTTCGAGCTGTCTGGATTACAACAAGATATTTTAAGGAAGGAGCTGTCTTTTGTGTCGTCTGAAATAAGATAGGTGTCATTTTGTCCTCATCAAAGAAGTGATACAAAAATGAGTAGCAGGACAAAGTCAACAGTAACCGGAGACCTGCCACTGGCACCCAGGCCATAGCCTCCAGGCTCACCAATTGCCACCCTCTTGGAGCACTTGGCTGAATCAGTTCACAAACAGGTTGGAGCCAGAATCACTACTGTAGTCTACAGGGCCAGACACATCTTGCCAGGAGCCAGCTGGATGCACCTGAATGCCCAGCTGAAGAGGCAGGTGGGAGGCTGGGATGAAAGCAAAGCAAAGCAGAAACCAGGTCACAGCTGGGCACATGCACTCCTAGCCCTCAGAAGCTACAATAGGAGCAAGCTGAGGGCCAGACCGGGCTACACAGCACACACAGAACAAAACAGTCAGTTCTCGAACAGGACCAGAGCCAGGCACTCTTTTGGACATTCACAACTACCAAGTGACCACCTCGACAGTTCTGCTCTAACTAGTCTATGGCTGTCACACTTTGCCTTTCCACCAAGGACCAGAGCCAGGCACTCTTTTGGACATTCACAACTACCAAGTGACCATTTCGACAGTTCTGCTCTAACTAGTCTACGGCTGTCACACTTTGCCTTTCCACCCTCCTAATTTCTCCAGTTGAGTTATCAAGGGCTCCTGGCCATGCTTGTAACTCAGTTCCTCAAGGGTTAGCAGCCACATCTTTGTGGTGCAACTCTTATCTTCTTTCCTTATTTATTTATTTTTGTTTTCCTTCTGCTGTTTGAAACAGGGTTTCATTTATCCCAGGCTGGCCTCAAGCTCACTATGCCATCTAGGGTGGCCTTGAACTCCTGATCATCCTGCCTCCGCCACCCAAGTGCTGGGATGACCAGCACGTGCCTCCACACCTGGTTTTATGTAACACTGGGGATTGAATCCAGGGTCTTGTGCTTGCTATGCTAACCCTGTGCTCACTAAGCCTGTTTGCCTGCCTTCCTCTCTCCCTCTCTCCCTCACTCCTTCACCCCTCTCTCTGCTTTTTCTTTCCCTTGCCTCACTCCATCTTTCTTTCAGATGGTCTTGCTGTGCTGCCTAAGCCGGTTACAACTCCTGGGCTCAAGTGATTCTCTTGCCCCAGTGTTCTACCTGTTTTGGACTCTAGGCATATGCCGTATCTGGCCATAACTCCATTTTCTCAGTTCCAGTATAAACCACATCTAGGCTCAGAATCTGTGCTCATGGAAAATGAGAAAAATAAGTTCCTTAGCAGTCTGTCATCTTGGTTGGGCTCTGAGCCCCCCGGCAGCATTTCTTTTATCTAAGGCCATTGGAGGACCCTCCTCAAGGAACAAAAATGAACCCCCAGTAGCTGCTGCAATGTCCAGCATCACACCACCACCTTATGTGTTCTTTTGTGTCCTAGTCTTCATTGTAGCCCACACCTCTAGGTTCTAGCTGTCCCCACAGCAAGGACTTGGCTGTGGCTTGGCCATCATCTCCCTTCCATGTGACCACATGAACCAGCCTGGATTATTTAGGCTGGTCTTCATTCCTTGCCCTCCAAGTTTATCACCGAGAGTCTGCCATGGCTGCACAGTGCAGCTCCTTAACTGGATTTTCGTAAGTGCAGGGCTGTGCTTCCCTGAGCGCTTGGATGTACTTTCTTGGCACCTGTGTTACACACCTGGCCCTCCTGAAACGCTTCCTTTGTGTGGCCTTGGCTCTCCCAAGGCACCCAGTAGACCATGTAACACTGTGAGATTGAGTTGGACAGCTGGGTTCCAGCCCCACTGGCCAATGCCTAGCTGTGTCACTTTTCTGTGCTCAGTTCCCTTTCGTGAGTTTCCAAAGTCTTGGCATGGAAGAGCGGGGCAGACAGTCCACTGCGAGGCGCTTGTGCTTAGTGATGTCCCCTCTACAGAAGTGACCTCCTGTCCTCATTTAGAAAACTGAAGTCTCACTTCCCCTCTCTCTTCTGCCAAAGGAAGAGTGCTCTTCATCTGAGTGAGTCTACCCTGTCACTTAAAGGCTGGGTTCTGCTGTCACACATCTGGGCTTGAGGCCTGCTGTGTCCAGCCTTCTTTCCACCCTACTAGAGAACTGTCCCCTGCACTTTCCTCCACTGTGTCTCCATCCAGTCATGCTTGGGCTCTCTTTAAAAGCCAGACTCCTCACTGGCCTCATCTCAGTGTCTCTTCCCGTGTGACCTTGCGGTCACTGACTAATCTTTGCAGTGTGTAGGACTCTAGTTCCTGGCTATTCTGTCTGTTTCTCCCCTCAGTGGCTTTGTGTGTACCCCTTCTCTGATTTCTTTCTGCAGAATGGCCATGAATTCCCTAGACACATGACTGCCCCCGCCCCCCCCCAAGCACCCCTTCTCCCCTCACACAAACCTAGAATGGCGAGCACGGTGCCACCTTTGAGGACCTCCATGGAACCTGAGCAGACGAAGTAGAGGGCCTGGAGGGCGTCACCTTGGTGAATGAGGTACTCGCCAGGTGTGCAGAAGGCAGGCCTCAGTGCCAGCGACAGTGCCCGCAGGCAGCCACGGCTTGCTGCCTCGAATAACGGCAGCTGTAGGACCTCCTTGTGCAGGTGCATGGCGATGTCTGCTCGAAGCTCATCTGGGAGGCTCTGCAGCAGCTGGAGGCAGGCAGTAGGGGAGAGTTATGGTAGCAGGGGAGGAGGCCCCCTCCAACCAGCTCTCTCCACCATTTCCAACCGCAGGAGCAAGAGGGGGGCAATGGAAGGAGGCCTGGGCCTCCTGAATATCACTAAGGTGTGTAGGATTCAGTCAATGGAAGAAAGCTCTTTGCAGCCCCCTCCCTGCCCCTTTCCTTCTCCTGGCCTCAGACTCTGACATCAGTGAGCACAGGACCTGCAGACCCAATGAGGGTTCTGTTCTGTCTACTGTGTGGATTCTGTCCCTGCAAGAGAACCAGGAAAAACCAAACTTCTGCATTCCCCACCCACCCACACCTCCACTCCTGATTGTTGAGGCCAAGCACAAACCCCTTGAGGAAGCAAAAGTCTAGAAGGAGCAGCCTAGGAGGCCACCACACCTCAGTGGTGTCGATGCCATTGTTCACAGCCCAGGTGGCTTGGAAGTACTCAAGCATGCGTTGCTTGAGGGGCTTGGGGATGCGGTGGATGCGGATGTAGTCTCGCAGGTCACGGGTGCGGCTGTGGTACAGAAATCGGCGAGCGTACATGCGCTGGATAATGGCTGTCACATTCCCAAACACCACTGCATGCATCAAGGCTGGGGAAGAGTGGAGAGGAAGGGTCACCTCCAGGCCTGGCTAGCGAGCCTGTCCTCTGCTCCCTGCCTGTCCCCATGTTCTTAGGCAGGGTTTGTGGGTATCCCTCCCAGCCCTGGTGTGGTGGACCACCAAGGGTAGAAGAATCTCTAACTGTAGGGACCCTGAGAGAAATAGGGAAACAGGCGTGGAGGGGCCCAGAAAGCCACATCCGAGCCTCACCTCCAATCAGCATGGTGCAGATGGAGAAGATCTTCTCAGTGTCTGTGTTAGCAGACACATTGCCAAAGCCCACACTGGTCAGACTGCTGAGCGCAAAGTACAGGGAGGTGATATAGGCGCTGCGTAGGGATGGACCACCCAGAAGTTCCAGCCCAGTCCCGTTGGCTTCACTGCTGCTCCTGCTGCTGCAGTTTTCATTCTGGCCAGAGCTGTTCCGTCCATCTGAAGTTCGGCTCACCAGGTAGTAGGGGGTCTCCAGCCTGCGAGCCAGCTCCTGCAGCCAGCCTGGGAAGGAGGAGGGGTGACTGAAAGAGCAGGACAGTTCTGCTGTTCTGAGGACACAGCTGGCACCCTGAAAGCGGGGAGCATGAAAATGCAGGCTCACCCCTGTGGCTTCTATCACCTTGTCTCTTCTCTGCTAACACAGCACATCCTTATCTATCCCTTCAACTCTCAGCAAGACAGCACAGGAGAAAGGCTGCCAGGCTCCACAGCCAGATCCTGCTGGTGCCACTGACAGAGTAAGGAGAATCATACCCATTTCTCCAAGGCTGCTGTCAATCTCGCAGAAGGCATCCAATGGGAGGAGAGGAGTGATCAGGCAAAGAGGCTGGGGTAGGGATGGCATCTCACTGAATTTAGTCTCAGCCTGGTCCCCAAGTTTGGATAGCTGAGGCCACCTCCTCTGCCTTGTCCACTCACTATTTTTTCTTTGTCCATGCCATCTGCTACTGAAAACCCCGCCCCTGCCCATCCAGATATGCCCTGCCCCTCAACCTCACAAACCACCCTGTCTCACATATGCTGTTACCAACATGCCCACATGGATGTGTGCACACATATGCCACTGAGGTGCCATATAGGCCCCACACAGTGGGGGAGGCAAGGACACACATGTAAACACCCTACAGATGCCCAGCCACAACCATGCCCACTTGCACTAAAAAGGCCTTTGTACACTAATGACCACAGGTGACTGACACTGACACATAGGCAGGGGTGGGGACACCCTTGCACACAGATAACTCCATATATACTTGCATAATCACACAGGCATGTGCCCTCACACCCATATGGCCTCCCAGACAGATAGTCTTCCTTGCACAAACATGGCCAGGATGGACTACTGGGCAGAGACTGAACTTACCCAGTCTCCTCTGGACACTGGAGAAGGGAGCAAGTGCAAGTTCACAAGGTCAACATACATACAGACTCTGGGCCACACTCCCCCAGCTTTTTTTTTTTTTTTTTTTTTTTTTTTTGCACACAGTCTTGGAGGCCCTCAAACCTCTCCTCTCATCCACACCCATTCCCTCAGTAGCTGAATGCACAGGGTGGCAGGCTTCGGCAGAGGGACAGAGGTTCTATCAGAGCTATATCAGGGAGGAGCCAGAAGAGAGGGGGTTAAACCTAAGGGTTACTGGGTGGGGGCTCAACAGCTCCCTGGAAGATGAGATATGTGTGCTTAACCTTAAAAGACAGGGAGGTGTTTTTTTTTTTTTTTAACCTATCTGCCTTCTTTTTTCTTTCTCCCCCCTCCTCTCTCCCTCCCTCCCTCTCCCTCTCCTTTCCTTTCCTTCCTTCCTCCCTTCCTTCTGTGTGTGCATGTGGAAGTCAGAGGACAATGTGTAGAAGTTGGTTCTTTTCCTTCTACCATGTTGACTTGGGGAGCAAACTCAGGTCTGCCAGGCTTGGCAGCAAGCACCTTCATTCACTGAGCCATCTTGTGTGGGCTCTGGACCAAGGGTGCCTGGATCAGTTGCAAAGAATGGGGTTCATCTGAGAATATGGTATTTTGGGGCTGCTTGGAGATGATGGGGAGACAGGGTTGGGGTGGTTGCTGACCCAGAGCTGCCTGTACTATAGACTCCCCTGGGAAAGGCAAGTGCCAATGAGCTGGAGTGTCCCTGTTTCCACATGCTCAGCAACTAGAGGACTCAGGGGAGCTGCCAAGTAAATCCTCTGGGCACACACTGTCTCCATGCACCTGGCAAGGAGAAGGTTCGTAGGAACCTCGGCATCTCAGGGGAACTGATTAGAGCAAGTTCTAAGACTGACTGGTGACCCCTCTGAGGTCACAGGACATGAGAGGTCACCCAAGCAGCTGGAAACTCAACAAATTTCAGTTACTGAGAAGCTGACAGAGGGCTGGAAGTGTGGAAGAAAGGTGTGCTCAGTTTGGGGTGCACCAGATGTTAGACTGGCTGGCACAGAATGGCTAAATGGGAAGGTCGAGAGCTGTGATGCCCTTATGGTGACACCATGGGCTGCGGAAGGAGGAGGAGAGATGCAAATGAAACCTGTCTGGAAGCTGGACAGTGGTGGCTCACGCCTTTAATCCCGGCACTCATGAGGCAGAGGCAGGCGGCCAGCCTGATTTACAGAGTGAGATCCAGGACAGCCAGACAGGACAGAGAAACCCTGTCTTGAAAACAAACAAACAACCTGTCTGGAGTCTGTGGGACTTGGAGGTGCTGGGAAGAGGGGCTCAGCCTAGGGCCGTACCTCACACAGCGAGAGTGTGGCTAGCAGTAAGGGGCTATAACCTTACTGGGGTTTAGTCCTAGAAAATCACAACCTTGTGGGTGACACGGAGAGGTGAGGGCGGAAAGGCACAGCAAGAGTTAAGATTGAGTGGGTGGTTAGTGGAAGGAGGAGCCGGAGCAGCCAGGTGAAATGAAGGAGGGAGGATAAGAAGGCTGTTTTTTAGGCTCAGGGAAAATATGAATTCAGATACATATGAAAGACAGACAAACGGTGCAATGGCCGGGAGAACAAGCTGTGGGGACAAGCTTCAAAAAGGATGGCATTAAAGGAAACCATGAGGCCAGCTGGTCCTTACCTGGCCTTCTACAGCTGGGCAAGAGCTTGAGAAATGTGATCTAGGCCTGGTCATCAGGAGGACACTATGGGTGACTGGGACTCCCCAGGTAGTCATTCAGTGTCCCCACGCGGTGGTGGCCATCACATCCGTGCACACCCTTTCCCTAACATCCCCACGTGCAGATGATCATATCCTGGCACCTGCCATCCTTCCTCTGGCATGCATGCAACCCTCCTCTCAGCCCGCTGTACCGATCTCAGGCAGCTCCGATTCGCTGCTCTCAATCTCCTGTTGGCCGATGTAGAACCAGATGCAGGCCACCCAATGGGCGAGCAGCGCGAACACAGCCATGAGCAAGGTGAGCACAACACTGCTCTCAATCTCCTGTTGGCCGATGTAGAACCAGATGCAGGCCACCCAGTGGGCGAGCAGCGCGAACACAGCCATGAGCAAGGTGAGCACAACGGCGCTGTACTGTGAGTACCGGTCCAGTCTTGGCAGCAGACGCAGCAGGCGTAGCAGCCTCACAGTCTTCAGCAGGTGAGCTCCAACATACTAAGATTGGGGAAGGGAGGTCAGCCCAGGCCAACTCTAGCCCTGCCGGTATCAGTCCAAAGCTCACCACCCAGCCCAGCCACACTGACCACGTTGACCTTGAAGGCATGTAGTAAGTCAAAAGGCAGGGCTGCTATGACATCCAGCAGGAACCAGGTGGTGACGTAGTGGAGGCAAATAGACTTTGGGGCAAATACCACCTGGCCTGACTTGGACACGAATGTGGTTCGAAAATTCAGCACAATATCTGTTGGAAAAGGGGCAGACATCAGTGGGATACGGCTCTTTACCACTGGGTACCTACATGTTCAATGCTTGGTCCTGCCCCAGGCCCTTCACATTGGTGACCTGACTAAGCTTGTGGAGCACTGCAAACTATGCAAAGAATGATCCCTACAAAAGTCTGGGGGTGAGGGGCTGGCCCTGAGTGGAGCAGCGGGCACACATTACACATACCAAGGATGAAGAGGACCTCCACCGCCAGGTCACAGACACTAGGTGGGCCACGGGCAGCACTGGGCTCCCGTGCTGTGCTCACACACACGCTGTATGGCACAGTGACGGCCACGTAGAGTGTGGCAAGCAGGATAAAACCATCCCAGGTGGCTCTCAGAGCCCCACAGTGCAGCAGGATGAAGGGTGACTTCCGGATGGCTGCGACTTTATATTCAGGCAAATTTGGCTTCTCTCCAAACACTCCCTGAGTGAGAAGGGGCAGGTCCAGGTAGAGAAGAAAGGACAGGACAGACTCAGGAGCATGTCTAGGCCAGCATTCATCTCCTTTCTCTCTCTGCACTCTCAATGTGTCCCTGACATGGGTCTTACTTATAGACCAGAAGGCTGAGGACAGGGTTAGCCAACTTAGCCAAAGCCAAAAAATTGCTTAGGAGTAGAGCCAGGATTGAATCCAGGCCCATGACTCCAAAGCCAAGGTGTTTTAGAACATCTGATGGATCAGACATGACATATTTCCTCTTTTGATTCCACCCACAAAGGGCTCATGGAAACTGAGTAGCTTCTTGGCATTCACTCTGAAGTGGCTTAGCTCCCCTCCCAGCTCTCCTCAGCCTGCCCAACCCTGCCCCCACACCAAACACACACCCAGGTGCTCAATCCACCTTATTGAGCTTGTGCTTGCCCTTAGGCTGCTTCTGCAGATGGCCAGAGAGGTGGTAGAGAACAGCTCGGCTCCGCCGCCGATTGGCATTAAAGCCTTTGGTTCCTGCCCGACCATATCGGCGCCGGCCACCACCTGCAGAGAAAGAGGGTCCTGTGCTGGTAATAGAATCCTGGGTATAGGACACCCAGCTGCTAGTCCGTGGACTGATTTGGCTCATTGACCCTTTGTCTAGTCACTGGGTCACTTGTCAATCAGAGCTGTGTAGTCCCAGGGGCACTCAGTATACTAGTTCCAGGGTCAGCTGCCAGTCTGGATCCAGCAAGACAATAAAAGGAGTCAGAGGAGAAAGGCCCCAGGAGAGGAAGTTTCTAAGAAGGTCTCAAGACACAGAACCAGTGGGATGCTTCCAGCAGAGGCGTGGAAGCTCAGAAGATTGACAATGAGAAGAGGTAAACCCAGGACCAAGTAGGATAGAGCAGTGAGAATGGGCTGAACTCCCAGCATTCCCCAATACCAATGAGGTCTTGGACCAGTGCCTAATGATAGCTCTGTGACCTGGAAGGCCTGGCCCAGCCCTTGGAGGGGACTTTGCCATCAGGCATGCTGTGTGGAAAGGAGGCAGGTGAGTATATGCGTGGCACTGTCAGTTTGTGGGAAAGAACTTCCTAGCACCCCCCTCCCCACCGGCAGAGTTTGTTTGCTGAGTAACATTAATTTAACAACAAGTATATGCGTGGCACTGTCAGTTTGTGGGAAAGAACTTCCTAGCACCCCGCCTCCCCGCCGGCAGAGTTTGTTTGCTGAGTAATGTTAATTTAACAACTTCAACTTCGTTTCAACTACCAGATTTGGACAAGATTCTCATCCCAGGACATCAAACAGAGCAGGCCGGGCCACTCTGTCAGAGACAGTGGGAATCAGTGAGCACAGGATGGTTTGGGGGACTAGGTGTCATAGCCCTGCCTGGGCTGGTGGCTTCCGGTGTCCAAGCCTAGGTGACTCAATCAACCGGCCATGGCCCCCACCTCTTTCCTTCCAGTTGTCAGGGCCTCCTCGGTTCTTGGTATCACTGATGTCCTTGTGAGAGACCAGGAAGAGGGCCACCTCCCCTTTCTCATTTTTTATAGGTATCACATCCAGGAGACACCAGAATGGAAGCCCTAGGCAAAGAGACAGACTTAGCTACCTTCCATTCTCTGCCCCGCCTAAGGTAACAACAGAAGCAAGCTGAAACAGAGCTTCCTGGGGAGGCAGCAGCAGTGTGGGTTCATTTAGGATGGGGCTTAGGCGAGGGAGCAAAGGAGAGAAGACACGGCTGCCAGACACACTGAGATGTGTGCTTTCCGCCCCCTTCTGAATATGAGAAACTCAGGATTAGAAGTAAGTGGAGGCTGAGACTAGAACAAGGGGCAGTGTGACAAGAGGTAGGGGCAGAGGAAGGGATGGGAAGATGGGAAAGGAAAGGAAGAAAGGCCATAAATGGGCAGGCGACACTGAAGGCGAGCTGAATTGGTACCACGGTGCCTTACCGCTCTTCCGGTACAGGATCAGTTCAGCCTTGAACTCTTTGTGCTCATCCAGGGCCTTGCGGATCTGTTGACGGACCAGCTCACTGGTGTCTGGCCCATAGAGGAAGGAGCAGGCACAGCCCCGCTGCATGACCTCAGCCCTGGAGAAGCCCGTGAGGTCACAGAAGCCATCAGAGCAGTAGACCACAGGAAAGAGCCCTGCCACCTGGGCGTTGCCCAGCACGAAGTTACTGTCTGCAAGAGAACACCTCTCAGAGGAAAGCATGAACTGAAGGGCACCTTCAACTACCACAAAACCTACCAAGGGTGGGTTTTCATACCCCAGGGGTGCTGTGTGTACTGGCCAAGATCTGTTTATGAATGAAGCATGTCTGGGTGTCAATATCCCCAAGGGTCAACTCCCGGCTGAATGTGTATGAGAGTGTTTGAGGATCAGCACAAGTCAATGTAGTGTGTTAAATGCAGCCTGTGTGGCATTGTGCCCTGGGGAGTGTGGCCTGAGCAGTTTGAATAAGGGGTGGGGTTAGGGGTTTCCCAAAGACTGCCCCTGCTAGGCCCACCTGTGCTTGTGCCAGGCTCACCCACCAATTGGATAAGTAGGTTGGCTGTATGGCTCCTCCCACAGAGACCCACTTGGTCTGGGAAACAACCCAGGCCACCGTCCATCCTATGCTGTGTTTGCACCCTCGCTGCATGCCCTGGCTCAGGAACCAGTGAATGCTCTCAAGAATGGGGGTGTATGGATAGTGACTGAACAGAGCCTGGAGCCAAGCATGTATTGGGGGAATGAGGGGTGCTGAATCAGCAGGCTTCAAGCCCAAAGCAGATGGAGAAGTCTGGGGTGGGGGGAGGGAGAGCTCAGTGATGAGTTCCTATGGGCTGTCTACACCAGGAGGGAGGGTGCTAGTTAGAACTGGGAAGCCCCGCTGGGAGTGATAGGGGGAGGGACCCTGTTTTTATGTTTCCCTGTATTCAGAGCCGAGGAACCCAGAATCTGGGAGCTCAAGTTGCCTTTTCCAAACTTCCCCAGTCCCGATGGGAGTCCCCAAGCTCATTTTTGGGGCTGGGTAAGCATTCCAAGCGATGTGTTTAGGCTGTGCGATGGGCTTGCACACAGAGTATCTGCTGAATCCCGCCTACTCTATCTTCCTTTGCAAATCTTATTTCTAAATCTGGGCTTTGAGCCCTCTGCGCTGTCCACCGGCCCTGGTGCTGCGCTTCACCGCATTCGGCCGTTGCAACAGCGCCTGGTCTGAGAAGGGGAATGGGCTATTAAATCATCCCAGGCCCTCCGCGCCTAGGGACATCTGCTAGCTGTGTTGACCCTGAAAACCTCCGGGAAACCTGAAGTGACTGGAATGAGAGGATGGCCCCGGCTTCAAAAGGGGTGAGGAAGAGGGGAGACCGGTGGGGGGGGAGCAGCAGGTGGCAGTTC